CGTACCTCGTGCGCCCAGTGAATTTACTCCGGATAAAGGGGCGCCCGGGCGGTGCCCGAGTGCCCACGACCACGGGTGGGGCCGGGAGGCTGAGGCGACGCTCTGGCCACGCGCTTCGCGGATCCCCGGTGCATCCCGAGCCCCTTCTCAGGGCCAGAACAGAGAAGACCTTGACGAGCTTGAGCAGTAGGGCTTGACCATGACTAACTAAAGGGCCCTTGATGTCGCCCCCCCCCCCCCATATTATCGGTCACACTAGTGACTGTGCTCTCCTGGCGCTCATAGTCCGGATTGCTGTTCGAGACCATCCATAGGCGCAGAAACCAGGCGCGTAGCGCGCACCCCGGAAGCGCTTGCGGGGACCCGGAAGCAGCGGGGGCTCGGACACCGCCGCTCTCGGGGGAGAGCCCTCCCGCCCCACCCATTTTTGAGCGGCCAGGGTCTGCGAAGCCCCGCAGGGCACCACAGCTGCCGGGCGTATACGCCACCCTCCCGCCCCGGGGTAGGGAATTTCCCGCTTTTGGGGGCCTCGCTTGCGACTGGCTGGGCCTCCCTCCCCTAGAGGGACCCCGAGTGGATTTAGGTCCCTCGTTAAGATCGCCGTTCTGACTAGCGGTGGGTAGAGGGAGGCGAAGGGAAGGAGGAATTTACAATCGGCCCGTGAGTGACTATTTCATAAACTCCCCAAAGATTAGAGTGTAAATTTACTAGGGATCTTCGGTTGCGATTCATAATTCCACACGTAATAAATCCCCCCTTTATTTCCCGCTGTGCTGGCCTCTCCCCTGCGAGCTGGAGTGGGCGCGAACCTGGGGACTGCGGGGGGCCCCGGGGCGCATCCCGCAGCTCGCGGGGAGCGGGACTCGCGCGCGCCGGGCGGAACCCGTGACCCGCCGTCGTAAGAATGCTTCAGATCCAACTTGGGCTCTTTTCCGTGATGCAGGAAACATCTGGGGGCTTTTCGTCCGGCGTTTGGGAAAGTACTTACTTCCGAACTTGGCGCTGGGGTGTTCTAGGATCCAGACAAACCGGGCCTGAAAGGGGGATGGGGCCGGGAGAGGCTGGCAGCCCTGCCAGCTGCCAGGGTGCACACGGGGGAGCTCGCTGGTGGCAAGCACGTGGGTGAAGGACGAATTAAACACTTAGAGCCGGTGCGCGCGTCCTGGCCTCATTGTTTTAATGTCTGCAGTACTTAGGCGCTGTTTGAGAAAGAATAATGTCTTTTCTTTCAGAAAAAACATCAAAGACCCGGGGCTGCTCAATGTGGAGCACATATGGTAGTCTCCGAAGGCCTTGCCTGCCAAAACATGTTTCTCAGTATTTATCTCCTTTCCTTTTTTTCCGATCCCTGCCCCCCTACCCCCACCCCGTCTCTTTTTTTCTCCCCAAATGGGAGGGAGCTGCAGGGTCAGGTTACCTAGGGCGTCTTGCGTTCACGTGAGGCAGTTGGCTGCTGTGCCGAGGCCATCAATGAGGCCTTTCAGGAACTGAATCTAGCCCGGGAAGGGACTTTGAAGATGGGCCGGCTGCAGGAGCCAGGCCAGAGAGAACGTGACTTGCCGGGGACCCCAGAGCCGGCTGTGGCAGAGTTGAGGCATTATCAGATTTGAACACTCTAGGTCGCTTTGGGCATTATACCTGCAAAAGCACATTTTCCTGTCGGTAGGTGCTTCCATAATGTGGTCAAGATACACTGGCTGTATGCCCGGCCTTAGCATCTTGCTCGGTATGTGAGGGGCACTTAGATCTTTAACTGAGTGAATATTGAAGGAACTAAGTGAAGGCAATACCCTGCAAACCACTTTTTTACTTCAGTCTAAACAAGATTCTGTTGCAAAGCTCCCCTTCCTCATTAACTGCTATTATCATTATTACTATTATTATCTAAATCACTGACCCAGTTTTTAAAATTACCTAGCAGAGAGAGGCAGGGGACAGTTGCCTAAAAATGCAGGCAGTTTTCTTTAGGAATTTCTCAAGATGAAACCTCAGAATATTAGGGATCTTTAAAGTGATCTAGTGCAACTTCTCCCTGAAGATAAACTGAGACCCAAAATGTTCAAGTTACTTGCCAAGGGCACACAGCTGGGATGGAGCTGGGGACGTGCCGTCTTTCCCTGCTGGGCTCACTACCCGGTAATTGCCCTAAGTGGAAAGACAAGCTGGATAATTTCCTCTCTTCTAGCTTCTTCCAATAAATGGATTCCTTTCATCACCTCTGAAAAATGATCTCAGAATATTCTCCTTCAGCAGATTGACATGTAGAGTTAGTATTAAAGGCAGGGGTAAATTCTTGGGGCTCCCATTTAAAAGAAGATCCATGCTGTCTCCAGAACATGCAGCTTTTTCTGATGCAGTATTGATGGTGGTGGGGCAAGGAAGCACACCACACATGGAGCTGATTAAACACAAATCTTATCAAATCTTCCAGTGTTCTTATAAGTGTCACTTACATGACATACACAGAGACCAGTGAGCAAATTACCTGACAAGTAGTTGGGACTTAAACCTGGCTTTGCCATCAACTCACTGTATATCTTGACCAGTTAATTTCTCTGGATCTACTCCTCTCTCCCTCACTCTTGCTCTTCTCTCTATATCTGTATCTATACACATGTATATTATTAATTTTTGCAGGTGATCTGTTGGTCCATAAATCTAATTTCTGTTCTCGTATTCTCTGATGCTATCATATGTATCAACATGCAATGAGCTCCTTACCCATACGAGATGGAGGAGTAACAGAACCAACACTAGAACTCTGCTTATTCTTGTATTAAGTACTCAGAGAATGTTAAACTTGCAAAGTGCTTTAGAGATGCTTCCGCCCCTCCTTACAGATGAGCACATGAGCCCAGAGAGCTGACTTCCCCAGGTCACGCAGCTGGAGAGCCCAGGGTGGCTTCCTGCTCAGTGCCATACTCCTCCAGGAAAGTTATTGCAAAGATGGGGTCCACCAGTCTCTGTGACAGGTTTAGGTGAGCAAGGATCAAGTCTTTAGGATACCTCTTTCTACCACCCAACCAACTGCACTCCTCTTGACCATCCTGCCATTCTTAAGTGTAATCATCAGAGTCTTGTTTTGGACCTTTTCTTTTATATGATAATCTCTCCCTGGGCAATACTTAATCATAACACTTCCTGAGGTCGTTGTGAGGACTAAATGAGACAATCTACTAAAAGTGCTTTGCACAGTGACAGATACATAGTTAAGTACTCAATGCATGTTAGCAAATATTATTATTAACCATTCTGTGGTTTCAGTTGATGTTGGTGACACATTTGTCTACAATTCAGACCTCTTCTTGGAACTCTGGACCTGAATATCCAACTCCCTGCTGGAGGACACTTCCATGTAGATGTGCTTAGATTTCTAAAACTCATCATGCTCAAAACAGAATTTATTTCTAGTCCCTGTTGCACACTCATAGTCTGTTCTCTTAGTCTCCATGAATGGCATCAGGAGCTTAGGCCAGTAACCTGGCTGCTGTCACCAGGTCCTAAATATCTTTCAGATCCTTCAAATCCACCCTCTCCTGCCCCACTTCTGACCTCCTGCCTTAGTAACGACAGATATTGACCTTTGACTGCATCATTCCATCATTTCTCCTACTGCCAGCATATCTCCAGTCTGTGCCAAGTGTGGCCAGAGTGATCTTTATATCAGGCAACTTGATCATGTCATTTCCCTACTTTAGACCTTTCATTCACTCCCCATAGACTTGAGGAAAATCCAAATGCAGAGCGTATAATATTCTTTATAGTCTCCCTTCTCACCACTCTGCCTACACACATGCCAAGCCCTGGCTCTGCTAAACTATGTTGAACACCCTAGTTGCTTTCGCCTTCATGTTTTGGCACATGTCTTTCTGCCTGGTAAACACCTCACTCCTCCATTAAACAGCATTGTACTTGTCCTTCAAGATTCAGCCCAGGTGTCTGTCCCCTCTTCTGGAAAGCCTTCACTAAGCCCCAGGCTGATTATGGTGTTTATATCCTACATAATTGTGATCTCTCTCTTCCTCACTAGGTGTGAGTTTCTCGAGGACAGCAGAAAAAGTCTTTAATCTTTGTGGCCACAGTGCTTAAGTGCCTGGCAAAACAGTAGGTGTCCATTACGTGTTTGCTGAATATGAGAATGGCCCAGATTTAGAATAAAAGCCTTTGGTTCTATAGCTTCTATCATCAAAATTTTGGTAAAGTTATTTTCTGAGCCTGTTTTCTCATCTGTAAAATGGAGACTGACAACGCCCCCTCATATTGTGAGGATTAAATAAAAAGTCGATGCAAAACTCTTGTGTAAACCGTAACACTGTACATGAGTCATTATGCCAATAAATGCAAACCCACATTTCCCGTGCAGGTACACGTTTTCACACATGCACTTAATGTCTACATATTATATGTGTCCATGTGTCTGTTTGTGCACCTGCATGGTTACATGGAAAAGCAGTTTCCAAACATACCTTTCTTTGGGTTCAACCCTGTAAAAGACATGCTGAAATGGGTGGCTAAATAACTACTTTTGATAACTAGTCCAGGTTCTTTATAAAGCAGGTTGTAGCAGTGTCCTCTAACTAGCAGTCATTCTGTGAATTCATCCATACACACAAATACAAAATTAGTACAAATTTATAGAGCACTGAAGGGTAATAATAGTCCATTACCATTTTTACTACGACTATTATTGTACCTTCCTGCTAAAAACGGTAACGTTGAAAAGCAGTTTCCCGCCAGTCTTTCGGTTTATTTTCACTTCAGTCACTTGCACCAATTATTGAATGCACTGTTTTCTCTATTTTGCATGTGTACAAACCGAGGCACAGGGGACTCATTTTAACAACCTGCCTCCTTGCCAGCGTTGCAGCCCAGTAAAGGTCAGAACCCTAGGATGCCCTTTCTCCTTTCTTTGCCCACAGGCCAGTGTGGAAAGTTTGGGCAGAATAGATGATTGAAACTAACGAGCCAGAGCTGATCAGTGCGAAATTGACCGGTGCTATTTATAACGCTTTCAGTTGCCACAGTTGTTTCTGCACTTTGAACTTGCCTTAAATGTGGAATCTGCTGTTCTAACATCAGTAGCGAGGGAAGTTCCTGTTTTTTTTCGATTCCCCGGAGGGTAATTGCCTCTCCTTCCGCAGCGCGCAGTTGCCAGCTGCCAGGCTGCCCCGAGGGCTTTGAAGTGGAAGGCGCCCCAGGGCTTTCTTCCCGTCGGCTGGTGCCCGCGGTGGAGAGGAGGGCGAGGGCTCTCCTTCAACCTCGCCTGTCTCCTGCCTCTCGTTCTTCTTAAAGAAGCCAGGTGGCGCCAACTCTCAACCCCTGCAACAGCTGGAGGATCTCCCTGCTTGCTCACAGTAGAGAGAGGAGGTGGAAGGAAGAGCACTGTCCTGGGCAGCCGCTTTCTCTCTGCGCCCTCCGCCCTTTGGAATTGGAGCTTTGCTTTTTTCTTCTTCCGCACCCCTCGCAGGAGGACGGCAAGCCTAAAGGGAAACGAGGTGTCCTGTGTGCCACATGGAGCTTGGGGAACGGAAATAATTAAAGCCATGAGGTTTCCTGGCTCTTCGCAGTGTTTACGGTGGGTTTTGATTTGGGGAAGGAGAGCGAGAAGTGAAGACCGGTTCCAATCTGCCAGCATCCTGTATCTGTCTGTGCGGCAGATGAGTGCGGGGCCGGGAGGGCACGCGCGCCTCGGTGTGCGCATAGCTGTGGGTGCAGGGTCAGGTCTCCGGGTGTCGTGTGTAGTGGCCTATCTATTCGTAAGTGAGAGAGAAAGTGCATGGTTCTAAAGAGGCAGAAGTCCTCCCAGCTGTGAAAGGAGGGCTTTGAGATTTCCTTACATGACAGCTGAGGACCTGAATCTCTTATGGAAAGCACACGGGTTTTTAAAAATCCCATTTTTTAATCCTTGAAATATTTCCAGTCTTTGAACTACTGTTATTTAACAGGGAGAAACTCCATTTTACGATTATATCGATTTACGTGATTTAAACCAAACTTCGTTGAACAAAACTGTTGGTTGAAATTTAGAAAACAGCTACTAATCTGGAAATTAAAATTTAGCCATCCACATGTACCGCTCTTGCAAATCATCACCAAATTTCAAGTTAAGATGAATTCAATAAAAGTAATTCTTTTTATATTCACTGGAAAACTAAGAGAATAGAGTTGGTATTATGGCCTATAGCAATTTGAAGATTTTAATTGAAATGACAGTAACACACATACAAACACAGAGAGCACTCAGCAATGTTAGTGATGATGACAGTGTGCTATTAATGCTGCTTTTTATATGCCACCCTGGTGTGTTTATTATAGTGTGCACTTAGAGCAGTGTTTTTCATACTGCAGACTGCCAACCGTTAGTAAGTTGTGAAATCAATTATGTGGGATTTGACTAGCGTTTTTGAAATGAAATAGAAAAGAAGAGAAGATATCGGAAGGATGGTAAGGATAAATATTCTTTCACAAATCTTTTTTCCCGTATAGATACATGTGTACTGGGTCACAGTGTAAAATGTATTTCTTACCATGGATTACATTAAAAAGGTTGAAAGCTATGGTTTTAGATAACTCCATTTTCTCTAACAAAGTTCCCATCAGTGTTAGGCTCCTCTGGTTTGGGGCGCAAGGCTGAGGCCCCTGCTGCCCCCTGGTGCTCTACACCGAGCTACAGTGGGTATGTGCCCCCTTGCAGCCTTGACACTGAGAATGACCATCAGTGAAAGGAGATTGTGAGGTGGGTATTCAGTTTTTAAAATCTCAACACAGTGGATTCTTTGCTGGTTATGAAAGTAATACTGGATGAGACATCATGTCGGGCTTCAGGCCCCAGGGAGAGGACTGGGAAGAAAGAATGACATGGAGCCCCAGACCTGTGGTAGGACTGGTAGCAATAGGAGGATGAGAATAGGACCCTGGAGCATAGACCAAAGCAGAAACCTGCTTATTCAGACTAGGTATGGGAGGGGTAGCTTGAGTCAGAAATTTTGGAAAGGGGATTCATTATCTTAACTGGTAGAAGAGTCTGGAAGCATGAGAAGCAATTTAGGAGCTCAATGACTGATGTTGGGGTGAGGAATGCTTCTATCCCTCTTTCTCTCTGTCCCGGTGTCTAGGAAGAGCAGATACTACTTTTATTGTTCAAGTTTCAGGACACTGATTAAACCATAATTACTAGAGGACGGGTCATTTTGTGTTAAAAGGTGATGGCTCCCTTGGCTCTTTCTCTTATTTCCTGGTAAGTGGACCTGCTAAAGCCTGCTCTAAAGATTGTCAGCCCACTCCCTCTTTTCTCCACTCCAGATACTAGGATTGGTTAGCTGAGCCCAGACCCAGCTTGGGTGTGGCCTTCCTTCTCTCTATTCACCTGAAAACATGCTGGTCACGGCTTTGGGTTCCTGCGCCATGTGGTCAGCCAGAGGGAAAAGAGCTGTAGATTTGGACTTTGGGGGAGATGGACCTAGCCACATGCTCCATCTTAGCTTGACTAGAGCTCTGTACTGAGGCATAGGCTGTTTTATGCCTCATAATAAGTGGCCATTGTTTCCCATTTTCTGTTAGTTTCAGAAATGTGTAATTCCCTGCAGCAGTTGTTGTCAAACTTTAGCGTGGGTCAGAATCACCTGGAGGGCTCGTTAAACCACGGATTGCTGGGCTCTACCCCTGGTTTCTGATTCATGAGGTTTGTAGTGGGCCTTGAGAATTTGCATTTCTAATAAGTTCCCAAGTGATGCTGATGCTTCTGGCCCAGGACCAGACTTTGAGAACCATTGCTCTATAAAATCTCCAGAGGAGTGTGGAGTGGGAAGGTGACTGACAGGGCAAAATGAAAGCACTCCTGAGTTCTTGGCCTTATTACCATCTTAATTCCATGAACCCTGCCTTCCACCCCAAGGCAGTCCCCTAACATTCTAGGCTGCCAGGGGCTCAGATCTGGAGTAGGGTGACTCCGTCACTAACACCAGCTCTCAGTGGTTAGTTTGGGGACTCTCCATCTGGAGGGGGACTCAGGAGAGGATGGGTTCCAGAACACCTTATTCTTGGACAGACCACTAAGGGATGGGATTCACTGCAGAGTCCCTGTAGAAGAGCTGCGCTGATTACTGTCTACCCCTTGGCATTCCGAAGTTCCCCCACCACCTTCTATTGCAGGGCCTGGAAGTGTAAGAACTATATTCCCAGTCACCTTTGCAGCAAGATTCAGGATGCAGTTCAAGTTCTGATAATGAAATGCAGTCATGTAGGATTTGAAAGGCAGAAAAGAGGAAGACACACTTTTTCTTCAGCTGTGTAGGTGTAGAAGAGGGCTCTGGAAGCATGAATATGGGCAGTGGCCGCATGCCATGGTCCACTGTCTGGTCACCAGCCTCGTGGGTGTAGGGGGCCCTGATGGCTGCCCCGACTCCATTCCTCCAGCCCTGCCACTTGATAACTTGTGTTAAATCCTTGTGAGCTTGAAAGGTCGAGAGTGTTTCCTCTTTCCTGTATGGAACCCTGACTGATACAGGGAACAAGGCTGTCTGAGTGCTTCATACCTGAGGTCTGGATTATCGTGGGCACGGAGTGGTAGAGACCTGAAGGCAGTGAGGTGACTGTCCCCAGCTGGGGGCAATTTGGGGGTGGTGAGCCCCATCTAGGAGAGCTTGCCTACTATCCAGAAATCATGAGGTTGAAGGGATGACCGACGGGTTGCTCTCATCTCATTCTGCTTCTCTCTCCACAAAGCTTCACTTCCACTGGCTTTTCTTCCTGATTTTTGCAGCAAATCAGGAAAAGCAGCCATTCTTTGCAGAAGTCAAGCAAAACTTTTTGCTAGGGCTCACTGACTGTCTGTTCTACCCATTTTAATGAGCAGGAAAGATAAGGGAAGGTAATGAGTTTTCAGTTTCCAGCCTCAGGGTGAACAAGTTGCTTGGGCAAGTCGGCTTCGCTTAGTGTGAACCGAGAGCTGGATGGACATCACGGATCTCCTCTGCCACGGCAGATCACAGGGCATCTCCTCTGGCCAGCTAATGCCTGAACCTGCAGATATTATTTAGGAGCTGATTCTTTGGCTCATCAATTCTTCTTGAGCAGAGACAAGATTTAATATATGGCACTAATTTTTGTGCAGAAGGAATTGATTGCTCTGGTAACTCTGTCATTGTTCTCAAATGTATGGTACCTCTCTCTGCGGGAGTACATGTACCCACTCTGTGGCTCTTGGTTGTGACCAGGTGACTGGCTCTGGCCAACGATGTGTGAGTGGAAATGACTGTGCTTGGTCTTTAGTCCCTATAAACATAGGTCAGCAATGATGCAGACAGAGGCAGCTCCCCAGCCTGGGCCCCAGGGTGAAGATGATGTGGAGCAGGCCAGCAGGAATCCAGGATGGACATGTTGCTAAAACTTTTTTTTTTTTTTTAAAGATTTTATTTTTTCCTTTTTCTCCCCAAAGCCCCCCGGTACATAGTTGTGTATTCTTCGTTGTGGGTTCCTCTAGTTGTGGCATGTGGGACGCTGCCTCAGCGTGGTCTGACGAGCAGTGCCATGTCCGCGCCCAGGATTCGAACCGACGAAACACTGGGCTGCCTGCAGCGGAGCGCGCGAACTTAACCACTCGGCCACGGGGCCAGCCCCTTGCTAAAACTTTTTTAAAACTATTAATTCTGTATTAGTTAATTTACTTCTGTGAAGTGGTTGAGATCCGAGAGGGCTAATAAATTACACCTCTCATCCTGGCCAGAGTTTGGTCCAAGAGGGCTGGAGGGGGATGCTCAGGTCCTTCTTCCAAACGCACCAATCGGGTCAGTTGCTCCTCCTCCCTGCCAGAGGCGGGAAGAGGTTCAAGGAGGTTCTGCCCCTTGAAAACTTTAGGAGAGAGAAATAGAGATTTCCGAAAGGATTTTGTTACTGTAAAATTATCTCTCTCTACATAGCAAAAAGAATTTGCCAGAAAGAGAAATATTAGGAGAGGCCATAAAAACGTTAATTTTTGTCTCATTTTTATTCTCGCATGTTTGAAACCCTCATTCAAGTGACAAACCATGGTATTGAAATAAAAGTTGAAACCTGGTACTCCTAAGCGTTATCACTGAATAAAGGTAACTTATCAGCACGTTGCTATAATAGGGCAACAACTCCATAGTAAATGGGAACTTGTGGCCTGAACGTTAATATGACTGACTTTCTGCCAAGACACCCCTTGCCCCGAAGGCCTGGCTCCTTGTTAATCGATGGCCTGTGGCTCCCAGCACAGTGCTCTGCTCTGGCTGCTGGGCCTGAGGGAAACAGGGTTGTTTTGAAACCCAGTGTTCTTAATGAATCAGATCCTGACCCTGAAATGTGCAAGAAAATAACCTAAAAGTGTGGTGAAAAACTGGTCTATTGAAAAGTCAGTGACCTTTCCAGGGTTGATTTTAAAATAATAGATTTGTTTTATTTGACATTTTGGTAAATGACTTAATAAAACTTAGCAATGTCAAAGAAATTATCCTGCGTGTTCCGTGTCCTGCAGCCTGGAATATCTAAATGATATGCTTGCAAATGAGCATCATTATTAGTGAGATTTTGTTGCAAAATATGGCATGGAGTGTTTTGGAGTGTCAGACTTTTAGGCGCTATCGCAGAATTGACCATATTCAAGGGATTTTTACTGACTTAATAACATTTTTCTTTGTTGTCTCCATAATCACCTGCTTTATGAACCGTGGCTAGAGCTGATGTTGCAACTGGTAATTTTCTTAGAACCCAAATGCATTTATATTTTTCCATCTTTTGCTTTCCATCATTTCTGGGAATTGTTAGTAGAGGGAATAAAAAGCAAATACATTATAAACAATTCAAAACACCAAAAACAAATTCCTTGGACCTTTTACAGATACCACACATGCAAATAAATGCGGCTTTGCATTCCAATGGCATTCGAATGAGGATTACATTTTCCTCATTAACCTCTTTCTTAACCAAACAGTATTGTTCTTCAAGCCTGTTTTCTGGAAATCGAGTTTGACGTTTTAAATTAATTCACACTGGTTCAGTTCAAGTGAAGAGGTAGAATGTCTTCTTTTGATCCCAGTCATTTGTGCAGTCCTGGTTGAACTGTACCAAAGTAAGAACGCCTACTGGTTTAGAAGGAAAACAGGAGATTCATTAGATTGCTTCAAAACCAAACATTAGGGGTACTAAATATGGTTTTTCCGGCACTACTGAGGAAAGAGGTGGAAAAAGCAATCCATGATGTACTCCTAAGATCTGAACATGCTTGCTTTCCTGCAGCAAATCATTTCTAAAATTAATGTGCTTATTTCTAATTGAAGGAACACCCAATCTGTTTTCAATCAGTCATAACCAATAATTGCTCTGCTAATATGAGGACCTTAATTTGAAGCAGTAGGAATCTTCTCTTTTCTCCAGGAAAGTCAACAGAATTGTTTAGAAAGACTACATAATTTTGGTAAGAGCAGAAATGTAACTTAATTATTTTTGAAAACTTCTGTAAACATTTATGCATGAATTTGTGATTTTTGCCCTTTTTTGTTACAGAACAACAGGATGCATTGTTTTCAGTGTTGATATTTGGCAGTGGATAGTGAAATATTTGTGTGTATTTAGGTATGTCTATCTATTTAAAATGAAAGAGACATTGAAATAACTCTCAGTCTGAGTTAAATCTACAATTTTAGGAAACCCAGTATCAGTTGTCTTCACTCTGCTGTTAGCTCTGTCTTGTTTTGTCAGGCATTCTTTTTCATTCCACCATCCTCTCATGCATTGTTTCAGACTCCTGTAATCCTAGCTCAAGATGGCATGAGTTAGAGTTGGAGAGAGAACCAACACTAATTTCTGTAGTGTCCACAGTTTCAAAACACACCCTTTAATGTTATTTGACACCATTTTCTACATGTGCTTTCTTTAGAAAGTGAAGAAATACATTTTGAGAGTTTGTCAGATGAAACCATATTCCAAAACATTTGCAAAACTGAATCATTGACAAAACGCATGTGATTCCAAAAGTGCCTGCGTGATTGAAAGCAGTTGCAGTATTTCAACATGAGAACGTTGCTTACCCTTTCTGTTGTCTGTTTCTAGATTCCTACAGAGCCCTCTGGACTTCTACTGTCCCCAGACAGCAGTTACTACACAGCGAACTGAGAATAGATGAGAGCTAGAGTTTTAGAACTTTCTATGCCTTTTATTCCTTGAGTAAGCATTCAGGAACATCACATCCTCGTCTTCTCCCAGGGTCATCTCTAATTCGCAGGAGGCTCAGTTCCCCCGGCATGCCTGTACTGTCTAACAATGCCTGTCAAATTGCACAGCCACACCCGTCCATTCTTGGCCCGTGCCATAATTGCCAAGATGCAGCCGTGCCCTCAGTAGATCCGAGTCTTGTATCTTCAAGGGTGATTTGCCACCCACTCTTAAAGACCTAGTTTGGCTGACACTCAGCCTACCTCTGAGAATGACACCAAAATCAGTTCTGCCACTAACCAGAAACAAGGCCATTTCAATCTCCAAAGGAGAACAATAGCCTCATGGAAAAATTGTATTTGCATACTTGATGAAAATAATTAACAGTTATTTAGAATTTAAAATTTTAAAAAGCCCAAATGTGTGGTGTCTGCGATGTGTGGTGAGAGAGAATTTTTCAAAACTCTAATGTATTTGACATCTCAGTTGCCGTTTGATTAACACAGACATTAACATCCTGAAAATTGACCAAAGAGAAAAAAATGCTTCATTTTCTCATTTTAAATATACTTCTTTTGTCAAATTACTCTCTGTACTTATAAGGAAACCATCAAAAACAATGTAATTCTTCTTTACTTGGAATTTCAGAAAAGCTAATGTCGCAAACTCTGTTCTGAACTTTTCAATGGACTTTTTGCTGTCTAGCTTCATCTTGTTTAAAGATGTGAGAGCTGTGTCGAGCTGAATATCAACAATCAGAAAGTAATATTGTGGTTCTGGTTGTCATTATCCTGTTTAGATGTGCTAGGACTAGATTGCCTGTGTTAAAACTTAATGGACTGGAGAAGAGAAGTGTTCAAAGTCTTAATGGTGGCAGCTTCAGCTATCCAGGCATCTGCCAGATGTCTTACTTTCTAAACTAAGAACATTTGATAAATCCTCAATTAGTGTTCTCAGCCCTGGCTGCACATTAGAATAATCCTAGAATTAGAAAAAAAAAACTTGATAAGGTGGCTCCACCCATTCTAATTAAAGCAGAATCTCAAGTTAGAGCCTCAGATCTTTGTTTTTAAGTGCCCCCAAGTGATTCGAATGTGCAGCCAGGCTGAGAATCACTAACCTGTGTGATAATTTCATCTTTCAGAGGGGAGAGGAAGTGATGAAGAGGATTAACACTCTGCTTCTAATTCTGGCCAACTTGGAGGCCCTGAATGGAAAATCAGAAGTGACAGGAATTCTGGAAGAGGGCCACCTGGCCATCAGAAAATTCCAGAGGGATGTGGTCACTGCCAGACACACACTCGGTTAGTTTGAGTTTTAAAATATCTTAGGAAATTATAAAAGCCTGACTTTAACCCCCTAGTCTGAGATTCCAAAAATAAGCAGAGGAGAGTCCTCAAAATAAAATTCTGATGCTATTATTGTAAATGGACCAAAACAGGGGAGAAAAAAGAAGAAAGAAAAAGGAAGGAGGTAGCCAAAAAGATTTAGTATCTTCATGCAGGGAGCTGTGTACTGAGATCAGATATATTTTTAAATGGTGTATGTAAAATGTGGAAGATGATTTAGAAAAACACGTATGAATACAAAAAATCTGTCAAGAATATGTGAGAAAAGAGTTAGAAAGACTAAATCCTGGAGGCTGACATTCTAGATGAGGAGGAGGGCTGTTGGAAACAAAGGTTAGTGCAGAGTCCATGCAGGACTGGGATGGCATTTTGTCGGTGTCCTGTGAATGGTGAACATACGAGGTGGCCGCACCCTCATACCCTGTTCTACTTCTTAGACTAGAAAGGGTGGGATAAAGTTTAGCAAGAAGGAATTGAGGAGGAAGATCACTTAGGAGGAAATGCCACCTGTCCTAAATAAGTTCAAACAACTTATAACAAGCCAGAATATTAATAGAATTTTCAGATATAATTGCTTTAATCTTTAAAAAAATATGGAGAATGAAAGAGGTGCATGAACACTGTCTACTTTTTTTTCAAGAAGTGGAAAAAGTCTTTGAACTACAGACTTGAAGACCTGCTAATTCTTCCTTTCAAAAATTCTAGAAGATACTTTAAAATGCAGTTTGAATGCAAGACTTGCCAAGTTAAATCATACCTATGACATAGCTTATGAAGAGATTAGAGACAAGGAATCATAAAATTTTAAATAATCTAATTCAAATTCAGTAACCTTTGAGAATCAGATAAAAGCTAAAAAAACCTTCTTGAAGTAGTTAGATATTACAGTATAACACACCATCCTAAAACTTAGTGGTTTAAAACAGCTACCATTAATTTGCTCACAATTCTGCAATTTTTGCTAGGCCCAGCTGGACGGTTCTTCTGCCAGCTTGGTCTGGGGTCACTCAGGCAACTTCAGTCATCTGATAGCTTAACTGAGGCCAGCTGGTCCAAGAGAGCCTCAGTCACAGCTTTGGTGGTTGTCACTGGCTGTCAGCTGAGCCACATGTCTCCAGCAGGAGAGCCAGGGCTAATTTACCTGGTGTGGGCAGCATCCCAAGAGAATAAGAGCAGAAGCTTCAAGCCCAAGGCTCAGAAGTCACACAACTTCAGTTCTCCCTCATTCTATTGGTCAGAGCAAGTCACAAGACCAGCCCAGATCGAGGGATGGGGAAATAGTCAATACCTTTAGATGGGAGTTGCTGCAACCCCCATGTCTGATCTACCACAGCTCTCCTCAAAAAAATGCTTCTCCACTAACACACGCAAACTATTTTAATTTCAGGGGATTCAAGGATCCTTTTAACCCAAATTAAGAGCCTTTATTCTAACCATTGGCATATTTAAATAAAGAAATTAAAGCCCAAGGAGACTAAAGATTTACCCAAAGTCAAACATATTTAGTATTCAAGCCTATAAGCATGGCCTATCATGTAGGTTTCATAACTCCCAGTCCTGTGCCATTTTCGTTATGCCCAAGTGATCACTGTATTGTTACAGCAAATGAATTTCAGCAGTTTTGTAAATCGATGTTTGAGCACCAAATCAGGACAACAATTTAAGTCAAATGTATGCCGTAAAATATGAATATTTTATTTAATTAGCGTATTCTACACAGACATCCAGTTAGGAAATTAAGCTAGTTAAAATAGACATGAGGAGTAAGTTATTTTATTAATTTGCAAACTGGCCCAGTTATTCACAGATTATGGGCAGTTCCCTAAGTCTAGCCCACTTTTTCAGACAGGTGCTCTCTATTGAACTAACTCACACTGAAAAGTCAATTACAGCAGATAATCTACAGTTAGCAAGATTGTTTTCACTTTTAACCATCTACTTAGAAATCACTCATCGATAACAGCAAACATCAATTATACGGATTTTAACTTATGTGAAAACCAGGCACCATTACCACTTCAAGTCTTTGGTTTTTCCTCGTAAGATAAAGATTATTAAAGGGAAATTGATGTGGTTTAGTTTAAAGTATTGCCTTTCCTTTGTTGTTGTTGCCAGTGGAGGACTTTTCATGTGAGGGCTGCAGCTTCTACTCTAAATTTTTTTTAATTATTAATATTTTATTTTATTTATTTATTTGTTTATTTTTTGGTGAATTTGGCAGGTTGATCTCATCCAAATGGATGGAGAGAAACTAATTAGCTTCAAAACATCAATTTTCAGAAATTATCAGCTAATAAAGGTAAGGATATTTTTGTTTCTTTTTTTCATAAAATTGTTCAAACATGCAGAGAAATAGAGAAAAAAATCATACTATATATATACATAACCCAATACACTTAGTCAATAGTTATTATCATTTTGCCATCTTTGCTTCATCTATCTATGTGCATTTTGTTGATAAAGGTCAGTGACCCCCCCCCCAAGCACTTCAGTGTACAGCTCCAAAAAATGAAGACATCCTCTTATATAAACAAATTCCAATATATCTCACTTAATAAATTAATGTTTATTCCCTAGTATCATGTAACACCAGTCCATATTAAAAATTGTAACCTTGGTTTTGTAAATGTTTTTTTCCAATTTAGAATCCGCTCAAGGAGCACATGTTACAATCGTTGAGTCTCTTTTAATCTAGAATAGCACGCACACACCTGTTTCTCATACTACTGACTTTTTGAAGAGGCCAGGCCATTGTCTTGTAGAATGCTCCAGTTCTGGACTTTTTGATTCTTTTTTCGTTGTGCTTTAGCTTGTTCCTCCATCTTCGGGATATCCTTTAGATCTGAAGTCTTGATGAGATTCAGGTTATACATTTTGAAGAATACTCCAGAAGTGAGACTATCTATTTCATATTATGTGACATCAGCAGCACATTAAGCCTGGTTGTCCCGCTGTTGGTGATGCCAAGTTTGATCGCTGAGTTAAAGTGATGGCAGCCACAGCTCTCTTCACTAATAAGGCATCTTCCCTTTGTCAATTAGCAAGGCATCAGTGGGGCAATAATTTGGCGCCACAAAAATGTCTAGTTCCCTAAAGTTAGATTTTTTTAAAAAACATCACTCATTGTGCTTTTGCTTTTCATAAAAAGTTATACTCAATTTTTCAAAGCCTTCGTCAAGCTGGACATATTCAACCTAAAATTATGGAACAAACCAATGTCTGCATTAAGCTGTCAGATAACTATTCATTCTGTGCCCATGTCTTTGTCATTTTGGGTACCATTCTGGTTTACAGCAGTCATGCATACCTGGGCTAGTAAATTGGGCATTAGTGAGGTCCCAGAGCTGTGTATTGTAGTTCCCTTATCCACTTATTTTATTTTATGATCGTTACATGCCAAGTTTGGGACTGGAGCAGCATAGAACTCTGTGGAAGTGAATATTATATCGTCATTAGTAATGAAGTGAGATCTGGGCATCACCCAAGCGTACCAGAAGCCAGGTGTTGCAGCAGGTATGAGTGCTGCCAAACTCTTACTGTGAACTATTTGTGCTACACATTGCAACTGAAATATGGGTCCCTTGAAGTGACTTTGCTTCTTTTTCAAGAAGGTCAAAAGATGTGAGGGAAAACACACCAGTAACCAAACATGGTAGGATCAAGCCTAATCAAAAATAGAAAATCATTTCTAAAATCTGTGTCTGTTCATTTTCTTTATTTCATTTGTTTTTGTTTCACGCTCATCTGCAATTCATTTGCCTTTCGTCATCTTCCACAATGGCTTCTGCAAGAATATCAGTCTTGAAACGAACAACATGGTTCGCACCCACTTCAAACATTGTTTAAAATCTCATTTGTTATTTTGTACTGTGGTCTCACTTAAAAGCCAGCATTACTGAGACTGCGGAGCACATACCTTGAATTCCCAGGATGAGAGGGGAAAGAGAGAGCAACAGCAAGACAGAGGGAGAACTAAAACTGAGACGCTCCACAACAGACGTGTGAGAAAAACAAGAAAATTCAGAAGTTGTACAGGCAGCTGAAGTCTCTAGACACGAGAAAACTGGAAACTGCCCAAAGCTGGGCTCAGTAGAGTATAGAAATGTGATGAAGACCAGGACTGGTTTTTTTTTTCCAACAAGAGGTTAGTTACTTAAGGACCACATTCCCAGGATTACAAGGATTTGCCTGAATAGCCCAGGGAACACTTTTCTCCAGTAGAATTAGTGAAATGAAGAGATGGGACTCTGTGTGAGCTGCCTATTACGTGAGACTGTATTTAGAACTTGAAATTAACACTGGGAGTAATCATATTAAATTGATATCAGCAGATGAAAGCTATATGAAGTAGGAATTATGTTTTTTCTAATTAGCTTAAATTTTCAGATACTAAAATCCAGGTGTCTGGGGGAGCCAAACCCAGTTACTTGGGCTTAGCGTCATTCCTTGAAAGAAAAACAAAAACAAGACCATGTGCTGAATATCTCAGGCCAGAAGCTCAATCATATTCATTCAGCTCAGCTTCTTTCCTCCATGTTCAAATAGAAAAATAGTCACTTACAACTGGGAACTGCTTCTGCGTGGGCTGTGCAGCCTTGGAAGGGGAGAGTGTCCCAGCTTCCTGTAGGTGTGTGCTCTGCTGATGCCCCTCCTCTCTGACGCTGAGCGGGAGCATTTTGTGAATGACAGAAGGAAAGCATTTACCTAACAGGGAAGAGAAGATAGAAATGACACTTTCCTGTTCCTGGTGCAGTGAATGTTTTCCCCCTTTTTCTAAGAAAGCTCCGAGTCGCACCTTTGTAAAGAATTCAACTTGCAGACCACACATGCTTCAGGCCATCACTTACTCAGCAGCTCGTTGCAGCAGGGTGGCCTCACTCTGAAAGCTACAGTAAGTATAGGCATAGGATAAGACAGTTACAGGCACTGAACTACATTTTTCATTTCTCTTGCGGAAGAGACCTTGGCTGGAAGGACCAAAGGAAGCAGTGTCTGAAGCTTCCACCTTTTATCTGCTGGTTCATTTGAATAAAATTACATGGAGTGGTGCCATTTTCAACTTCAAATTCTTATAGATTGGGCAGGCAATTTCTTCCTTCTGTCCCAGGTAAAATAAAGAATGAACAGATAAGGCATCACTTGAGATGCTAATTGAATGGAATTGAATGATGGAAATTCTCATACAAGTGAAAAATTAGGATAGAATGTTATTACGAATACTCCAAGGGACTGAATAGCCTTTAGACAGCTGAAGGGAATGTAAGGATGGCTTTTTATATCAGACTGGAGAGTCAGTGTACAAGAAATGTAACTTTATGATGCAACTACAATTCTATTTCAAGCTGTCATTCAGGACCTTTTCTGTCCCTGGTGTCAACAAACGAATTCTGGGATGGTTTACACAGAGCCAAGACATTGGAGAGGCTCACCTGGTTCTTGGATGTTGTCTGTCCACTCAGAGGACACTGTGTTGCACATCAGCCTGGGTTGTCACTGGTCATAAATTCAGTCCCTTCAGCTCCATCTGCCAACCCTTCAGTTCCCATGCCTCTTCCCTACCACTCTTGGGCACACACCAATTATTCTGCCCTTCTCGGACCCACTGGGACCTGGGGATTTTGTGAGGCTAAGACCTGGATGGCCAAGATATAACACAGAGCCGTAGTTTCCATCTTCAGAATTCTTGCCATCCTCAGGGCTTTACCCAGGAAGTGAGGTGCAAATTCTTCCTGTGTTACATCTGTGAAGATCTGGCCACTTCCCGAGAACAGGGTGCAGGGCCCTGTCTCAGGAACCCATCCGGTCTGCCTCTCAGGCTTGCCTCTTTTACTGCTTCTCCCAGCCTGAGGAATCCTTTTTTGGTACTAAGGGCAGAGAAGACTTGCTTTCAATGTCAGACCTCCTCTGCCACTGAGTGAGTTTGTTTTTGTTTTTTTTAATTGTGGTAAAATATACTTAGCATAAAATTTACCATTTTAACCATTTTTCAGTAGCATTAAGTACGTTCTCATTGTTGTTTGACCATCACCACCATCCATCTTCAGGACTTTTTCACCTTCTGAAACTGAACCTCTGTCCCCATTAAACAACAGCTCCTCATTCCTCACTCCCCTCAGCCCCTGGCGCCACCATTCTGCTTTCCATATGGATTTGACTGCTCTAGGTGCCTCATATAAATGGAATTGTACAAGATTTGCCCTTTTGTGATCGGTTTACTTCACTTAACATGTCTTTAAGCCTCATTTTTGTTGTAGCATATGTCATAATTTACTTCCTTTTTAAGGGTGAATAATATTTCATTGTATGTATATGCCACATTTTGTTTATCTGTTCATCTGTCGATGATCATTTTGGTTGTTTCCATCTTTGGGCTATCATGAATAATTCTGTTATCTGACTCTTTTCTGACGCCTTAAGACCTTGTCTCTGGAAACTCAAAATCCTGGGCGAGGTTCTTTTTTCTCTGTCTTGCTGTCACATCCTTCCTTGAGTCAATAAGTAGAGAATGGCCTAATTTAATTGACTGCAGGGGACAAGGTGGGGGGGGGGGAGATTATATTTCAAAATATTAACTACCATACAAGGATTTCTCATCTTGTTTACTTTCTTCTTTTGAGTAAATATGAATGTTTGTGATCTTTATTTTCTTGTCAGACAAATTTAGGTTTTTAAAAAGGCCTTAGACTTGCATACAACATGTCCTTCAAAACATATGAACAGAAAAAAAGAAAATTACAGGCCTATATCCCTGATGAACATAGATGGAAAAATCCTCAAAAAAATGTTCACAAACCAAATTCAACAATACATTAAAAAAGGTCATACACCATGATCAAATGAGATTCATTCCAGGGATGCAGGGATGGTTCAACATCTGCAAATCAACCAATGTGATACACCACATTAATAAAATGAAGGATGAGAATCATATCATTGTCTCAATATATACAGAAAAGGCATTTGACAAAATTCTACATCCATTTATGAGAAAAACTTTCAAAAAGTGGGTATAGAGGGAACATAGCTCAGCATGATGAAGGCCATATATGACAAGTCCACGGCTAACATCATACTCAACAGCAAAAAGCTAAAAATGTTTCCTCTAAGATAAGTAACAAGACAAGGATGCCACTCTCGCCACTTTTATTCAACATAGTATTGGAAGTCTTAGCCAGAGCAATTAGGCCTAAAAAACAAGTAAAAGGCATCCAAATTGGAAAGGAAGAAGTAAAACTGTCACTACTTGTGGATGGCGTGATTCTATATAGAGAAAACCCTAACAACTCACCAGAAAACTATTAACACTAATTAATGAATTCAGTAAAGTAGCAGGATACAAAATCAGTATATAAAAATCGGATGTGTTTCTATACATCAATAATGAACTATCAGAAAGAGAAATAAATAAAATAATCCCATGTACAATTGCAGCAAAAAGAATGAAATACCTAGGAATAAATTTAACCAAGGAGGTGAAAGACCTGTGGATTGAAAACTACAAGACATTAATGAAAGAAATTGAAGAAAACACAAATAAATAGAAAGATAGTCCATGCTCGTGGATTGGAAGAATCAATATTGTTAAATGTCCATACTCCCTAAAGCAATCTCAAGATTCAGTGTAAACCCTATCAAAATTCCAATGACGTTTTTCAAAGAATAGAACAAATAACGCTAACATTTGTGTAGAACCACAAAAACATCTACATAGGCAATGCAATCTTGAGAAAAAAGAATAAAGCTGGAGGCATCACACTTCCTGCTTTCAAACTATATTACAAAGCTAGAGTAATTAAAACAGTATAGTATTGGGATAAAAACAGTCACATAGATCAGTGGAACAGAATGTAGAGCCCAGAAATAAATCCACGCATACATGGTCAATTTACAACAAAGGAGACAAGAATATTCAATGGGGAAAGGACAGTCTCTTGATTGGGAAAACTGGACAGCCACACACAAAAGAATTAAACTCAACCACTATCTTATACCATATACAGTCCACTCAAAATGCGTTAAAGACTTGAATGTAAGACCTGACGCCATACAACATAAACCATAAAACTCCTAGAAGAAAACATAGGCAGTAAACATCTTGACATAAGTCTTGGCATTGATTTTTTGAAGCTGACACCAAAAGGAAAAGCAACAAAATCGAAAACAAATAAATGGGACTACATCAGAGTAAAAAGCTTCTTCCCAGCAAAGGAAACCATCAACAAAATGAAAAGACAACCTACTGAATGAGAGAAAATATTTGCAAATCATATATCTGGTAAGGGACTAATATTCAAAAAATATAAAAAACTCATACAACTCAATAACAAAAAATCAAACAATCCAATTAAAAAATAGGCAGAAAATGTGAATAGACATGTTCCCAAAGAAGATATTCAGATGGCCCACAGGTACATGAAAAGATGCTAAACATCATTAATTATCAGGGAAATGCAAATTAAAACCACAATGAGGTGTCACTTCACACCTGGCAGAATGGTTATTATCAAAAAAGACAAGAAATAGCAAGTGTTGGCAAAGATGTGGAGAAAAGGGAACCCTTGTACACTGTTGGTGGGAATGTAAATTGATGCAGCCACTATGGAAAACAGTATGGAGATGCCTCAAAAACTTAAAAATAGAATTACCATATGATCCAGCAATTCCACTTCTGGGTATTTATCTAAAGAAAATGAAAACACTAACTCAAAAAATATATACACCCCCATGCTCATTGCAGCATCATTTATAATAGCTAAGATATAGAAACAACCTAAGTGTCCACTGATGGATGAATGAATAAAGACATTGTGGTATTATATATACACAATGGAATATTATTCAACCATAAAAAAGAATTAAATTTTGCCACTAGTGACTCCATGGATGGACCTCAAAGGCATTGTGCTTAAGTGGAATAAGTCAGAGAAAGACAAATACCATATGATCTTTCTTATATGTGAAATCTAAAAAAAAATACAAGCTCATAGATACAGAGAATAGATTGGTGGTTGCCAGAGGTGGAGAGTGGAGGGTGGGAGAATTAAAATGTAAAAAAAATAAAAAGCATAAGAATTACATTAATGACGTGAATGCAGTGCCAAATGTCATTCCCATCTCTACAGGAGGAACACGCTCCTGTGTGTCTGTCCTTTACTCTCCCAGTACATCTACTACACTACTTCATTTCTGACGCTAAATGGGTGGGTTTTCCACACGTCAGGCAATTCTTCAACACCAGCTGGGTGTCCTACAATTTAACTCAACTTTGATACTGTCTACCTGAAGATAGCGTCAGATCCCACAAGTTAAGGGCTCAGTCCTCTAAGACTGCCCCCTCCCCCCACTTCAGGGGCCAGTCGAAAGTCCAGGTGGTCATCTGTGCTTCTGACCAAGCAGCTATAAATCAGAGGTGCCCATGAACCCCTCCTTGGGTTTGATTAATTTGCTAGAGCAACTCATAGAACTCAGGAAAACAGTTTACTTACTAGATTACCAGTTTAGTATAAAAGGATATAACTCAGGAACAGCCAGATGGAAGGAATGCATAGGGTAAAGCATAAAGAAAGGGCAGAGAACTTCCATGCTCTCTCCAAGCAAGACGCTCTCCCAGCACCTCCACGTGTCCACCAACCCAGAAGCTCTCTGAACCCCCTCCTTTTGGGTTTTTATGGAAGCTCCACTACATAGGCATGAGTGATTCAACCTCCAGCCCCTTTCCCCTCCCTGCAGATCGAGAGGTGAGACTAAAAGTTCCAACCTTCTAATCAAATGATTGGTTCCCTTGGCAACCAGCTCCATCTTTAGGGGCATTCCAAAAGTCAGCTCATTAACATAAACTCAGGTGTGGTTGGAAGGGGCTTGTTATGAATAATAAGACACTCCTTTCACCTTTATGACTCAAGCTATTTCAGGAACTGATGACAGAAGACCAAATATTATAAGAAAAGATGCCCCCGTGGTTCTTATATAGGAAACTACAAGGGTTTTAGGAGCTATGTGCCGGGAACAGTAGAGGAAGACCAAATATGTATTTTTTATTATAAATCACAATATCATACTGTCCCTTTCCTGGGACCTGATACTAGTCTGGTGACTTGTCTGTGGCTAACTACAAACCAGTGATCTACAGACAAGTGAACTAGAGACAGCTGTAACCTGTCAAGTCTCTTGACTTCTCATGACCACAGGTAACTCCAATGGGAAAGCAAGGGGGTTCAATTAAATGATCATTCAGTATCGTCTCTTAAAAACAGTGTAATTATAGATAGTGACCAGTAAGTGATCATAAGAATTCACATATCACAATTGGGAGGAGCTAAATGTTCTGAAAGTGTGAAGAATTTTTGACTCTTTATCCACTTTATTTAAACTTGACTTACCTTTTAGAGCTTTATTTTCATAACTTTCTGATGTTCGAATGATCTGCTTCCCTAGGTGGTTGAGGGCTCCGAAGTCTGAGACCTGGCTACTTTCTAACCCAGTGATTTAATCTCTAAGAGTTGGCCTCCCCCATCCAAAAATCTCTGCATTTACATGGTGGTTTAATTCCTAAAAAGTGGTGACTAATTAAATAATGCTTAAATTAAAATTTCTCGTAAGAAGAAAAGATAAAGCAAAAGATGTATTCCAGCTGATTGGAAGGAATGTCAGCTATGCCTTCCTGCCTTGGTGTACTGCATGAACATGAACAGTTAGTCAGCAGTCTAAGAGAAAATATGCAAGAGTTGGATTTATAAAATAATTTTTTTTAATTTATAAAATAAAAATTAAAAAGTCACTAACAATGCCCTGTGGAGTCCCATGAGAAATCAGCCTTGCTCCGTTATTCTGAAACTTCCTTATAGGAGTCCTTGCATACAAAGTTATGCCACATACTTTGATGTTATGGACCAAGATGTTCTTTAATTTGGGGGGGCCTTGTGCTGTGCTGTTCGCAACAGTCACCTAGAGAGGAGCTGAGCAAATATCCAGCAGGTGTCTTTTTCCACTTGAACTTCCATTTGGCTCCTTTATTCTTTGGCTACATGTTCACTTCTTTATCTGTGGGATCCTGAGTTATTTTAAAGATTTTATTTTTTTTCCTTTTTCTCCCCAAAGCCCCCCAGTACATAGTTGTATATTCTTAGTTGTGGGTCCTTCTAGTTGTGGCATGTGGGATGCCGCCTCAGCGTGGCTTGATGAGTGGTAGCATGTCCGCGCCCAGGATTCGAACCAACGAAACACTGGGCCACCTGCAGTGGAGCGAGAGAACTTAACCACTCGGCCACGGGGCCGGCCCCCGGATCCTGAGTTATTAAATGACATTTCCTACTAATGGTTTCATCTAAAATTAAAAAATGAATAGTACCTGAAGAAGCACGTGAATTCACAGAGCTTACTCTCAGAGTATCAGAATACCCTTGGTGACAACAGATGGTGGCAGCTGTCTGAGAAAGGCCTGGCAGGAAGCTGAGAGAAGTCCTGCTCCTAGTTCCTCTGGCTTCTGGCAGCGCTTCTGAATGACCAATGAGAAAATCAGAACGTTTCTGCAAATATTATTAAATGTACTAACCTGAAATTACTGCTTATCTATTTTTAAAGGGTGAACATTTCTTCATGACTTCTCCTCCACCAAAAACTCACATGCATGGGAAGTCAGAGATAATCCTTACCTAGAAGGCTGGGTTGTGAGGATTAATTGAGGCAGTGTATGTAACCTGCTTAGCCTAATGCCTAGAACTTAATCATCATTTGATAAAAAGCTCTAATTATGATGGTGAAGATAATAAGACC